TTAAAGGTTTTGAATTTTGATGCATTTGGGGGCCAAAACAGGCCCAAACCATACATAGTCCTCTGTCATAGGTCTTACTACTGTCAGATATATACACAGTGTACTATAATGGTTTTACAGTGTACAAGTGAGGCTAATCCTAAGCTAGTTATAACTGAATCAGTAAAACCATCTTAGCAGGAAATCCCCTAGCGACACTGAATCAGTTCTACTCCATCTAACCCACAACCTTCCCCAAACAGATCTGGTAATCTTACCATTGTGAAAATGAGGAGGCCAGTCAATGAGATTTCTCTTCCAAACTGTACTATTTTGTTTCATTTCTTATAAAGCCTTTAAAAAAAAATCATTTTGCAAAGTCTGCAAGCTCAAAAATTCTAGTTCCCTGATATATATTCATTAGACTCTAGAAAACACTTTTAGTTGTATATCATTTTGTGTGTAACAATTTTGAAATGTAATAGTCATTTAAAACACATTTCATACAAGGGAGATAACTGTTAAATGTTTGGATCAATATCCTAATTTACTAGGACTTATCACACATAATTACACTAGACAAGTGTAATTGATTTGTAGATAGAAAACATTCCTAATGTCACTTTTATGTGTGGAATTGAAATCTTACAATAACACAGTTTTTATGTCTTAATCTGGGTTTATTTCTGTTAGTGTTGGTGGAGGAGATGTATGTCTTAATAGTTTATGAACATTAATGAAAAATGCATTAACATTAGCTAGTGGGTGTGACTGATGAGGAAAAAAGGTGTGCAGGTCTATTTATAGACAGCTTGTATCTCAGTGCTATGTCTGTATATATATATGTATATATAACCAGGTAGGCTAACATGATATACTGGAGTAACACTGCAGGGCATCCACAGCTCAGTCAGAATCCCACCAGGTTATAGTATAGTGTTCCACTCAGTCAGAATCCCACCAGGTTATAGTATAGTGTTCTACTCAGTCAGAATCCCACCAGGTTAAAGCATAGTGTTCCACTCAGTCAAAATCCCACCAGGTTATATTATAGTGTTCCACTCAGTCATAATCCCACCAGGTTATAGTATAGTGTTCCACTCAGTCAGAACCCCCACCAGGTTATAGCATAGTGTTCCACTCAGTCAGAATCCCACCAGGTTATAGTATAGTGTTCTACCCAGTCAGAATCCCACCACGTTATAGCATAGTGTTCCACTCAGTTAGAATCCCACCAGGTTATAGTTTAGTGTTCCACTCAGTCAGAATCCCACCAGGTTATAGCATAGTGTTCTACTCAGTCAGAATCCCACCACGTTATAGCATAGTGTTCCACTCAGTCAGAATCCCACCAGGTTATAGCATAGTGTTCCACTCAGTCAAAATCCCACCAGGTTATAGCATAGTGTTCCACTCAGTCAAAATCCCACCAGTTGGTGGTATAGTGTTCCACTCAGTCAAAATCCTACCAGTTTGTGATATATTGTTCAGCTCCATCTATATTTTTTCCAAACTCCATGAATATGTAGTATGCATATGTGGTAAAATGAAAATATCTTTACTTCTTTCAATAGTCAAGGACATGGTATGGTAAACGATTACCATGGATAATTTTTTGTGTGAAATTGTTGATGGGGGGAAATACAATTATTTATTTGTTATAAAAAAAACAGTTTCATTTCAGTAATAATTACCATAACTTAAGTATGCNACTATAGACTCAGGTGACCGTTAAGGCCCATGGGCCTCTTGTTACTAACTCCTATCACTTGTATCCCATTACTTGTATAAAATATTTCTCTCTAATTACCTCCCATGACAGAACTAGCCTTGCTTGTGTTATACTGTTCTCCCAGGCAGAGGCTTACACAGGCCATCTACCATCCAGTGGTAAAGAGCTTGTATTATACTGCTGTGATAGTGCTCTCCCAGGTAGAGGCTTACACAGGCCATCTATCATCCAGTGGTAAAGAGCTTGTATTATACTGCTCTGATAGTGCTCTCTCAGGCAGAGACTTACACCGGCCATCTACCATCCAGTGGTAAAGAGCTTGTATTATACTGCTGTGATAGTGTTCTCCCAGGCAGAGACTTACACAGGCCATCTACCATCCAGTGGTAAACTGGTCGAGGTTATATTATAAGAATGTGAAGCTGGTGAAAACAAAAATATCTTCCATCGTAGGCAGTTAGGCAAATGACTAACATTTGGCATACTTTCCCAGACTACAGGAGTATTCCCTAATCCTGCACAGCTGAAAATCCCAGTGGTCAGACCCCTCCTCTTCCTGTATGGCCAAACTGGACCACAATACTGACCATAGTATATGACAGCTGTGTCCTACACCGACAGATGCACGATTACATGCACTTTGTATATTCCTTGATGGGTTTGAGGTTAAATTGAAAGTGACTATAGCATAAGTGGAATTTAAACCTAGATGGATCTGTCAGTTCCAATCAACTTAATGAAAACAATTGTATCTATCAAAACTACTGGAAAAGGTGAACATCTACAATAATGTATAACTAAACCTATGGACCACCTGTACATTATAATGTAATACTAGACCTATGGACCACCTGTACATTATAATGTAATACTAAACCTATGGACCACCTGTACATTATAATTTAATACTAGACCTATAGACCACCTGTACATTATAATGTAATACTAGTCCTATAGACCACCTGGACATTATAATGTAATACTAGACCTTTAGACCACTTGAATATTATAATGTAATACTAGACCTATATAGACTACCTGTACAGTATAATGTACTGTAATACTAGTCCTATAGACCACCTGTACATTATAATGAACTGTAATACTAGCCCTATAGACCACCTGTACATTATAATGAACTGTAATACTAGCCCTATAGACCACCTGGACATTATAATGTAATACTAGACCTATAGGCCACTGTATATTATAATGTAATACTAGACCTATGGACAACCTGTACATTATAATGTAATACTAGACCTATAGGCCACTGTATATTATAATGTAATACTAGACCTATGGACCACCTGTACATTATAATTTAATACTAGACCTATGGACCACCTGTACATTATAATTTAATACTAGACCTATAGACCACCTGTACATTATAATGTAATACTAGTCCTATAGACCACCTGGACATTATAATGTAATACTAGACCTTTAGACCACTTGAATATTATAATGTAATACTAGACCTATATAGACTACCTGTACAGTATAATGTACTGTAATACTAGCCATATAAACCACCTGTACATTATAATGTACTGTAGTACTAGCCCTATAGACTACCTGTACAGTATAATGTACTGTAATACTAGCCCTATGGACCACCTGTACATTATAATGTAATACTAGTCCTATAGACCACCTGTACATTATAATGTAATACTAGACCTATAGGCCACTTGTATATTATAATGTAATACTAGACCTATGGACCCCCTGTACATTATAATGTAATACTAGACCGATGGACCACTTGTACATTATAATGTAATACTAGACCTATAGGCCACTTGTATATTATAATGTAATACTACACCTATAGACTACCTGTACAGTATAATGTACTGTAATACTAGCCATATAAACCACCTGTACATTATAATGTACTGTAATACTAGCCCTATGGACCACCTGTACATTATAATGTAATACTAGTCCTATAGACCACCTGTACATTATAATGTAATACTAGTCCTATAGACCACCTGTACATTATAATGTACTGTAGTACTAGCCCTATAGACTACCTGTACAGTATAATGTACTGTAATACTAGCCCTATAGACCACCTGTACATTATAATGAACTGTAATACTAGCCCTATAGACCACCTGTTCATTATAATGTACTGTAATACTAGCCCTATAGACCACCTGGACATTATAATGTAATACTAGACCTTTAGACCACTTGAATATTATAATGTAATACTAGACCTATATAGACTACCTGTACAGTATAATGTACTGTAATACTAGCCCTATAGACTACCTGTACATTTTTATGCAAGTAAGGTGTCAAAATTGACCACAATGACAGATTTCTTTGAAAGAATATACAAATGTATCTGTGTATAAATTAATGTATACCTTAATGAGAGCTTGCTTTCAATACCTATTGTAAAATCGATCAATTTGTGTCTATTGTTGCAAATTATAGTCTGCGATGGGTTAGTGTCAGTGTAAATGTGAGAAAGAATGCATGGACATTATTATGGTATGTGTATAGTTAGAGATATATAGACAAAAAAGAAAATGTGCTGCCCCATTTTAATTACCATTTCTTTATGCATATGTTGTGGGCTGAGAATAGAAAACAGCTGTCCCTTTTTCTCCCCAGGAGTCCCTTCACCAGCTACCAAGAATAGCAAGCTAAACTATTCTCTGTAATACACAGATTTCCTACCATGCCCGAGCAACACAATGTTGTACAGCTTCCTCCTCCCATAGATAGGGATGGAGCTGTACATGTTTTCTCATCAGCCGCTTCTACATTGTATGTACCAGGAAATATACCTTAGGTATATATGTAACAATGCAGAGGTGCCATTTGACAGTGCCATGAAACCATTAAAGGGCAGGTCAAAGGCCTACATAAACAATGGTTCTTTGGAGGTGTACCAAAGTTCAAAGGTCACACTCTCATGATAGGCTGTCTTTGTAGTAAAACGTAAAGTATATATATATTTGTGTGTTTGTATGTGCCTAGTATATGCAAGTCTGTCTCTTGCAATAATCCTGAATAATTGCAACTTATGCAATCAGTCTACCTATATGTCCATTCATGAAAACTTGGGTGATTGAGAGAGATAATACATCTTGTTCACAAAAAGCTGGAGATTTAGGAACAGAAGTGTCAGCATGTTGTCCCGAGTCCCCTTTATGGACATGTAAGTGTTGATTGCTGATCATGTTGGCTTTGATCCTGTACTGTTTCTGTATACTAGAGTTTGGTGGATGCTAACAAAATGTCCTTCCTTTGTGTGTTACAGGTCTTTGAATCTAAAGGAGTCGGCCATGTTGCCATGATACAAGAGTCTATGACCTGAATGACCTTGACCTCCATTTCGGGGTTACATGTGAGGCTGCAGTCCTGGATGGGGGTTGTTGGCCTGTTCAAGTAACCATGGCAACAATCATGTCACAGTAACATGGCCATGTTGAGAAACGTTTTTGGAGGCTGTGTATCTGACAGAAGCTCTGAGTCCATGCGCCACCAAAAGTAAGCCATTCAGCCATTATGCATGAAATTGACTGTGAACTTTAAAATGTCTGAGAGAAAAAAGTAATATCTTAGCATTAATTGGCAAAAAAATAATTGTGCAATATAACATCATTACCTGGGCAGATCCTCCCCAAACAAAACCATATTGGAATAACATATCTAGTTTGCTCAGATAAATTCTATAAGCATTTTTTTTGCAGATTTCATTGTTACAAACAACCTCACAAATACAAGCAGATTCCAATGCTTAATGTAAAGCTGATATTCAATACAAATCTACTGTAGTGTATTACAGTCCCATATGAACAAACCTTTGCTAGGGTTTATATAACAGGAATTCTGATAACTGTATTTTATGTTGACAGGATCAAGTTTGGAGCTCCACTCTCCCACAACATTAAAAATGGGTACCTTCCAGTTCCTTTGGTGGTAGGTATTCCTTTAGTGGTAGTCGTACATGTGTTACAGGGATATACCTGGCATCATCAGAAGTCCCCTACATTTGTACCTTAAAATGTTACACAATCTCTGCGTTGATTTGGGCTTTTACTTTGTAAATTTGTCTTTGTTGATGTTTGACCATTGACCTTTGTATATAATCAGGAAGATTTTTTGGCAAGAGAACCTACTTATTCATCATTGACTTTTGGCTAAGTTTGTTTAACAATGACTTGCAGCCTACTTCCTCTGATGCTGACTTCTGTCTTTCAAGCTTCAAGAACACATGGTATTATTATGTCTCCCCTTGGAATGACATTGCTTTAGTACCAGACTTCTGCTTTTTCTAATATTTTTTTACCAGGCAATAAGAAAACAAATATCTTGGTTTATACTGACATGTACTTGGTGATGTCTGTTCCTGTGCCATAATGTTGTTAATACATTACTTGACCATGTGACTAATGGCAGGGCTGTCACATTACCATCACTATCATGTGACCACCCCTGTCATCACCATGCTTGTCATATGACCACCCCACCATTTGCATCCTTGTCATGTGACCACACTTGTCATCACCATCCTTAATTGTGATGTGTTCGTGACCAACTTTGTCATCAATATCCCTGTTGTGTGACCATCTTTGTCATCAATATCTCTGTCCTATGCCAACCCTTGTCAGTCCCATCCTTGTCAGGTGACCAACAAAATGAATAGCTTCATTTTCTTGTCATTTGCTGGTATTGTAAACCTGTTTTTCAATGTACAAAGTTTTTAAGTAAGATAAAAATATTTTAAGAAGAATACATGTAGCATTGAGAGTTTTTCAACACTGAGTTAACCTATTATGTGTATGTGTGTACTGCACTGTAGATTGGGTGGCATGTGTAGGAGTTCACTGAGGGTAGATCTTACAGGAGTCAGATTGTCTACAGGGGAAGGACACGACACTCACCTCTGTCTACAGGGGAAGGACACAACACTAACCTCTGTCTACAGGGGAAGGACACAACACTCACCTCTGTCTACAGGGGAAGGGCACAACACTAACCTCTGTCTACAGGGGAAGGACACAACACTAACCTCGTATAATTATGCCTAAATAAGGCCAAATGTCAGTGAGTGTGTATGAAGTCAGAGAGGTCATACCTGTTGCAGTGGGTCACCTGGATACCTGTTACAGTGGGCAGGGATGACCAAGACTGGTCTGAGGATAGTCCTGGTCACATGGATACCTGTTACAGTGGGAAGGGATGGCCGAGACAGGTCTGAGGAAAGTCCTGGTCACATGGATACCTGTTACAGTGGGCAGGGATGGCTGAGACTGGTCTTAGGATAGTCCTGGTCACATGGATACCTGTTACAGTAAGCAGGGATGGCCGAGACTGGTCTGAGGATAGTCCTTGTCACATGGATACCTGTTACAGTGGGCACGGATGGCTGAGACTGGTCTTAAGATAGTCCTTGTCACATGGATACCTGTTACAGTGGGCAGGGATGGCTGAGACGGGTCTGAGGATAGTCCTTGTCACATGGATACCTGCTACAGTGGGCAGGGATGGCCGAGACCGGTCTGAAGATAGTCCTTGTCACATGGATACCTGTTACAGTGGGAAGGGATGACCAAGACTGGTCTGAGGATAGTCCTGGTCACATGGATACCTGCTACAGTGGTCACGGATGGATGAGACTGGTCTGAGGATAGTCCTGGTCACCTGAATACCGTTTACAGTGGGCAGGGATGACCAAGACTGGTCTGAGGATAAATTATTTGAAAATAAAAAAGAGGGTCATAGTGCGTGACGGCTTTTTTTCGCAACAAATATAAGAAAAATAGATATTGAATTAGAACTTAAATATTTTAATGATGCAAAAGCTACATTCTACATTCATTGAACTGTTCTTCCAGCAGGTCTAGCTGATCCTCATCCACAATACCAAATTCAAAGCTGAAAAATATAAAGATTTGTCAACAACACAACTTATAAAATTAATTCATAATAATATATATGATACTGTGTTTTCACAGGCATTTTTTATGTCAATTAATATGAACCTGACAATAATAAGATGTCACATTCTGCTCATAAAATACCATTTTGGTTCTGTCAATGAAAATGGTCCTGACAATAAGAAGTTGCACCCTACCTACTCATATAAAATGTAAGTTTTATACGAGTAGGGTTTTAACTCTTATTATTAGGATAATTTTTATTGACAGAAACAAATCATCAAATGCCTGTGCGTGTTTTTGACTAGAGTGCAGAATGGAGCGTCGACGGCTGCGGGACTTTATTCACTATAACTCATTTTCCTACGACAGTTGATACCTTCAAAATACGATCTATTCTACGTAAATACAATTATAAAAACAACTCACTTATTCGTTAAAACACCTGACTAATTACTTGTCGGCAAGTTCAGTAACAACGGTCTTTATATAAACATTTGTAAAAACAGTTCTAGTATGTATATAAACAACTCACAACTTACCTGTTGGTGAAAAACGGAAACAAGAAATAGATCGTCTTTCTTAGGAAGAAGGATGGAAAAGTCTAGAGAATCCCGAGTGACTTTGGTAACTTCTAATAAACGAAAAGATTCCGGGTGAAAACGGGTGAAATAGACGAAATCCGGGTCAATATCGTAACCCGGCGGGTGAAGTTATAAAAGCGGGTGAAGGGTTAAAATCCCGGGTGTAAGCCAACGAAATCGGGTCACTTGGCAGGTATGATTGTTGTCTTCCAGTCTATTGTTCATATCATATCATAACAATAAGGACCCCAGTAGGATAACAATGTAATGATTAGTTTCTGGCACAAATTTTGTCTTCATTTTATACTTATGATAAGTTGGTTTATTTTTGGATTTTGCTTTTTATCTCTGCCGTGTTACCTGACCAGTGTGACTTGTCACATAGAATTGTGGAGATATCTGTTTGGCAGACAAGTGTGAGTTACATTTCTTTCTGTGTTTATCTACTATTGTGATATTTGATGTGTTTTGTGTTTTAGGAAATACTTATATACATCGCCCATGAAGGCATGAACACGGCCGACCTATTCCGACGACCAGGGAATCCGTCAGACACACGTCACATTGTTAAGAGGATGACTGAAGGCAAGCCTGTCATCTACCAGAACTACAACATGTACACACTGGCCTCTGTTGTCAAGGTAAGTACTGGTCACCTACATTAAGCTCTCTGGCTTCTGTTGTTAAGGTAAATAACCTAATATCTACTAGAAACAGCTCTGGCCTCTGTCCTCAGCATCTATGATTGTAATCTACCAGATCTTCAACATGGTACGCTGCCTCTGTTATCAAGGTAAGTATTGGTCATCTACCATTACCAAACCAAGTCTATTCTAGTGCTGTTGTCAGTTGGGGTTCCAGTCATCTACTAAATCCATTCTGGCCTCTGTTGTCTAGGTAGGTACTGGTTACCTACAGGAACCACTCTGAGGCCTCTGTTGTCTAGGTAGGTACTGGTTACCTACTTGAACCACCCTGGCCTCTGTTGTCTAGGGAGGTACTGGTTACCTACTGGAACCACTCTGGCCTCCATTGTCTAGGTAGGTACTGGTCACCTACTGGAATCACTCTTGAGCCCTCTGGTGTCTAGGTAGGTACTCATTTAATGTCGGATCCACTCTGGCCTCCATTGTCTAGGTAGGTACTGGTCACCTACTGGAATCACTCTTGAGACCTCTGGTGTCTAGGTAGGTACTCATTTAATGTCGGATCCACTCTGGCCTCCATTGTCTAGGTAGGTACTGGTCACCTACTGGAATCACTCTTGAGCCCTCTGGTGTCTAGGTAGGTACTCATTTAATGTCGGATCCACTCTGGCCTCCATTGTCTAGGTAGGTACTGGTCACCTACTGGAATCACTCTGGCCTCCATTGTCTAGGTAGGTACTGGTTACCTACTTGAACCACTCAGGCCTCTGTTGTCTAGTTAGGTACTGGTCACCTACTGGAACCACTCTGGCGTCTGTTGTCTAGGTAGGTACTGGTTACCTACTTGGGGGGCGCTGGCCGCTGTTGTCTAGGTAGGTACTGGTTACCTACTTGGGGGGCGCTGGCCGCTGTTGTCTAGGTAGGTACTGGTTACCTACTTGGACCACTCCGGCCTCTGTTGTCTAGGTAGGTACTGGTTACCTATTTGAACCACTCTGGCCTCTGTTGTCTAGGTAGGTACTGGTTACCTACTTGGACCACTCTGGCCTCTGTTGTCTAGGTAGGTACTGGTTACCTACGTGAACCACTCTGGCCTCTGTTGTCTAGGTAGGTACTGGTTACCTACTGGAATCACTCTGGCCTCCATTGTCTAGGTAGGGACTGGTCACCTACTGGAACCACTCTGGCCTCTGTTGTCTAGGAAGGTACTGGTTACCTACTTGGGGGGCGCTGGCCGCTGTTGTCTAGGTAGGTACTGGTCCCCTACTGGAATCTCTCTAGAGCCCTCTGGTGTCTAGGTAGGTACTGGTCACCTACTAGAATCACTCTTGAGACCTCTGGTGTCTAGGTAGGTACTCATTTAATGTAGGAACCACTCTGGCCTCCATTGTCTAGGTTATTAAAGACAGGTTCATAATCTCATTAATTACAATGAAAGATTTTTTATGACACAATTTTGTGTCTATGTCAGGGTTGGTATGGATTTTATTTGTATACCAAATGTAGAAGGTAAAGTCTTGATGGATTAATACAACTTTTAATGACACAAAGATCCCTCTGGGATCTCTTGTTAGGTAGGTTCTTATGAAATTGCTATGTTTTTGATGAACTGTTATTATAGATGACTGTTTGATACTTCACTGTCTCTGTACCTTATTGATTGGTCCAGCAATAAGTAAACATGTCTTTGATTGGTTTCTGCAGATCTTACACTGTATTTAATTGGTCTTAACAGAAGTTCCTGCTGCGTCTGCCTGATGGAATATTTGGCCAGAATGGCGAGGAAACCCTGTTGAGTGTTCTCAGTCTGGGCCACAAGATGGAGCAGTATGAGGCTGTGCATGAGTAAGTGTCCTGTCTACTCATCCACCTTTGTAGTAGAATGGTGGGATCTATCACTCCTGTTTGATAAAGACGGAGAAGTCTCTACACAGGGGTAAAATGTTTCAAGTTTAGCACAAGGTTTTACAGTGTTATCTTATCCCGAGGGTTGAGATTTTTCTGTTTGCATCCACACAGGAGTGACTGATTTTATTTCTCCCCACTTTCTTGCCGTAAAGAAAAATGTTGTAATGGTGTTCCCAATGTACTGTGCCATCGTCAACAGCGTATAAAATGTGTGACAAAGTTGATGACGCTACCCAGGCTGTACTGCATAAAGATACGACGCCATTGTGATGGTTTTGGAATAAAGATGGGTTAAGACTAATAGAATCTATTATCCCCTTGAGTTTATAGAGGGGATTCCCAACCTGAGGGGGAAGATTGTCTTGTTACCAAACACAAGGCTTGGCGAGTGTTTAGCATCTTAAGAGTCTTTCCCTTAGGGTTGAGATTCCCCATTTCACCTCAAGGGGGTGAATAATTCTTTTTCTCTTACCATGTTGACTCTGTCATGTACATAATGCAATGTTGATATAACAGGCTCAATGTGAGGTTAATGCATTGTTGACATGATGTCATTGTATTGTAAATGTGACGTCATACTATTGTCTTAACTCCAGTGAGAGACAAGGATATCTCACACCGGGAAAAGTTTGGATACACCTTGGTTAAAGAAAGGTTTAACCCCAAACTTATAACTTTCATATTAAAAATCTAAGAAGAAAGACTTTTTCTCAACAAATATCTATCATGAAGGAAATTTTTAAATATTTTCTTTTATTTGGTAAGTATGAATTGTAGAAAGGCCATGTGTCTGATTAAGATGACGGGGTGCGTATCATACTAGATGTCAAAATGTCACATATAAACACTTACTGGTTGTACATAACCTTTCTACATTATTTTGAAGGAAATTCCTGAATCTGGATTCACCTATGATAAAGGGAAATCATGAATCTGGCTGAAAATGTTAGATTCAGCAGTATTTATCCTTGAATAACCTTATAGCTTTAATAAGTTTAATGACTTTAATGCTTCAGGTACATTGCTTTTTTTGAGAATGACCTTGACTGTGTTTGCCTTCCCCTATAGGTACATCACCTCCCTACAACAAGCACATCAGCAGCTTGTGTCCCTGCTGTTCGGCATCTGGTTCACTATGATCAACAACTGTGACATCAATTTCATGACGACAGAGGCGTTGTCACGCAGTGTTGCGGGGAGCGTGTTCCATTCTTGTGCCGCTGATCCCGGGAAGGTGGAGAAGGCAAGCCGTATCATGCAGCTGCTCATTGAGAACTTTGGTGTGGCCAGTATGTTCGGACAGCAGAACATTGAGTATTTTGCCGATACCACTCGCACAGGGATTCATATACGGGAGAAATTCCGCTATGAATTCCAATACCTTTCAGAGGAAATACTACCTCGTAAGTATTGTACTAGGATCCCTGTTCAGACATCAATCTGCAGATAGTATTAATGTTTTTATTTTTAATTCACACATTCTGCAGGTTTTGAAAAGAAATATGCAACTACAACTTTATTTGCTTTAATTTCTATGAGCTCATGTATTGAGTTAACAATTCAAATTATTTCATCAAAACTTGCAGAATATGTTTGGTGGTGGTACAGTGAAACCCTGCCTACTGGAACTCGTGGGGTCCATATCAATAGTTTGAGGAATCCATGGTTTGTTCGACATCATTATGTTTTGATCAGATGGAATGAGCAATGCCAATATCGCGGATAATAAATGATAGAAGTCAAAGAGATGTTGAATAAAGATGGCCACATTGAATAAGATGTAAAACTGTTCACAATGAACACATAAAGCCCTCAGTATTTTGATTTGTGATTTTATTGTTATTTAGCCATACTGTATTAGGCTACATTCATTTAACAAAATATCAAAACAAGTGAAGAATTTTTCGATCATTTTCAAATCTTTAATCCCTGTTATTATAATGATGATCAATAACGAAATAAACAATTGCAAAGTATTCAAGTTTGAATATCTTTAAAGATAGAATCCATTATGTGATTTCCCCTTTATATTGCCGTATCGAAATATGGTTTTACACACCCAATGAATGAACACTTCTGTTAAAACATTGATGTCAGACATTGTTGGGAAATAATGAATATGCACACAAAATGTTAATACAGTTACAACAGGTTGATGGTACAGGTACTTAATGATACTGCCGTTAATCCTCTAAGTGTCTGACGTCCAGCCCACACCTGTATAAATACAATGAGAGTGGACTTGAGTCTGTGCCGGGAGGCATGTCGATGGCACCCAGTAGGTTTGATACACATATGTGACTACCTGTCGGAGGAACGGATAGTATAAATACTAAGGTTTTGAGTGGTCGGGAATAAATCAGAATTCGAGGAACATGGGGTATTCAACAATGACAATTAGAGTTATCCTAGGTTAATTTAAATAAAATATACAAGAAGAAACTGAGGACGAGGCAAACTTAATGAGGGACGGAGGGAATTCGAGTTAGTCGGGTTTCACTGTAATTATCTACTCAAAGACTTCAAGATACGGTGGAGGTATAAATACACCTTATATGTGTGAATACTTTAATTCTTTTTTGATTCATGAGGTGAGTAATTATGAGAGAACATTTATTTATGGAAGTTTGTGTAATCTCAAGAAATAATTTGAATGTTTATGCACAATATGTATGGTAATTTTTTATTTGCACGTTTTTTGTAGTTTTGTCAAACCTGTTTTTTTTCTACATTATTATTGTGATAAAACTCTATTACCACTCCTTGATGTCATTTAACCAGCCAATTAGTAAATTGAAAAACTTTGATCAACAACTTTTTGGAATGAAATTTGGAGATTCCTTAAAAATGTTTTCATTTGTATTGGACAGATGATGGTATGTGAGTTTTACACTTTGTAGCCTTTGTTATGTGTACCTCCTCTTACATGTCAGTGATTAGCTAGACAGTTGTAATACTATCAATTAATATCACACACAAATATACAGTATATTTTGCCTCGTTAGACTGGTCAGTTTGGTTTCCATAGAAGAACTTTTGAAAGAAAATGTTCTATTTTTATAAAATCTGGATTATTTTCTAAACTTTTAAATTATTGACATGTAGAGTAGAGGTGTAGTTTGTGTTGACATAACTATTAATGATATGTACAAAGGACCTCTGGTCCAACTGTGCATGTCAGTAGAAAGTTGGAAACACTAGTTATAAAAAGGTTGATTTAGATTGCTGAGGTAATGAAAATAAAACTTTGCTTTAAAAAAAGAATCGGAAGCTAAAAGGTTGCACTTTTATTACAAAAGAAACTTATCTAAGCTTTGGCACATTTATCTGGATGTTTATGGTAAACTTATCTAAGCTTTGGCACATTTATCTGTATGTTTATGGTAAATGTTGAAAATGATGTTTTTGTTACCTTCTGCAGTTGTACTCTCAGATGTACAAACTTCCCCCAATTTTTTAATTGTCTGCATGCTTGTGAACAGGGGTGTCGTTCATATCGTCTTCTCTTTAGGTCCTTGTTCCCCACCCCCTTTACTCCTCCTCCCTAGCTCCTTGTTCCCCACCCCTTTACTCCTCCTCCCTAGTTCCTTGTTCCCCACCCCTTTAATCCTCCTTCCTAGTTCCTTGTTCCTTATCCCATTTACTCCTCCTCCCTAGTTCCTTGTTCCCCACCCCCTTTACTCCTCCTCCCTAGTTCTTTACTCCTCCTCCCTATTTTCTTGTTCCCCACCCCCTTTACTCCTCCTCCCAAGCTCCTTGTTCCCCACCCCCTTTACTCTTCCTCTATAGCTCCTTGTTCCCCACCCCCTTTACTCCTCATCCCTAGCTCTTGTTCCCCACCCCTTTACACCTCCTCCCTAGTTCTTTACTCCTCCTCCCTAGCTCCTTGTTCCCTACCCCTTTACTCCTCTTCCCTAGTTCCTTGTTCCCCACCCCTTTACTCCTCCTCCCTAGTTCCTTGTTCCTTATCCCATTTACTCCTCCTCTCTAGTTCTTTACTCCTCCTCCCTAGCTCCTTGTTCCCCACCCCTTTACTCCTCCTCCCTAGTTCCTTGTTCCCCACCCCTTTAATCCTCCTTCCTAGTTCCTTGTTCCTTATCCCATTTACTCCTCCTCCCTAGTTCCTTGTTCCCCACCCCCTTTACTCCTCCTCCCTAGTTCTTTACTCCTCCTCCCTATTTTCTTGTTCCCCACCCCCTTTACTCCTCCTCCCAAGCTCCTTGTTCCCCACCCCTTTACTCCTCCTCCCTAGCTCCTTGTTCCCTACCCCCTTTACACCTCCTCCCTAGCTCCTTGTTCCCCATCCCCTTTACACCTCCTCTCTAGCTCATTGTTCCCCACCCCCTTTACTCCTCCTCCCTATCTCCTTGTTCCCTACCCCCTTTACACCTCCTCCCTAGCTCCTTGTTCCCCACCCCCTTTACTCCTCCTCCCTAGTTCTTTACTCCTCCTCCCTAGTTCTTTACTCCTCCTCCCTAGCTCCTTGTTCCCTACCCCCTTTACACCTCCTCCCTAGCTCCTTCTTCCCCACCCCCTTCACTCCTCCTCCCTAGTTCTTTACTCCTCCTCCCTAGCTCCTTCTTCCCCACCCCCTTTACTCCTCCTCTCCAGGTCCTTGTTTCCCATCTCCACTCCACATTATTGTAGCCGAAAGACATCTATGAATCTGCACCCACCCCACATTATTGTAGCCAAATGACATCCCTGTATCCCCACCCTCCCAACATTGATGTAGCCAAATGACATCCCTGGATCCCCACCCTCCCCACATTGATGTAGCCAAATGACATCCCTGTATCCCCACCCTCCCAACATTGATGCAGCCAAATGACATCCCTGGATCCCCAGCCTCCCCACATTGATGTAGCCAAATGACATCCCTGTATCCCCACCCTCCCCATATTGATGTAGCCAAATGACATCCCTGTATCCCCACCATCCCCACATTGATGTAGCCAAATGGTATTCCTGTATCCCCACCCTCCCCACATTGATGTAGCCAAATGACATCCCTGTATCCCCACCTTGTTGTTGTTGTTTGCATGACAGTCTGGTGCATGTTCCCACAGGTGATCAGGCGGTACATTGGTATTCCCTGTTCCTGGTCCAGGAGGCTCATCTACGAGCCTTCCACCCAGTAGAGCATGGTAAGGAAATCACTTAACAGCATACAGTAGATGCCATTATTTATTAGGTACACGCTAGTTAGCTCACCTGGTCCGAAGGACCAAGCTGAGCTTATGCCATACTGTGTTGTCCGTCCGTCGTCCGTCCGTCGTCCGTCATCCATCAACAATTTCTTTAAACGACTTCTTCTTCTTAACCACTGATTGGAATTTAACTAAATTTGACTGGAAGCATCCCTAGGTGGTGGGGATTTAAAATTGTACAAATGGTGGTGTTGACCCCCCAGGGGGCTGAGGGGCAGGGCCAAAAGGGGGCAATTTGGCTATATTGCTACAAATGACTTCTGTAGAACTATGTACTGGATATCAATCATATTTATTCAAAAGCATCTATGGGAGGCAGGGATTCAAAATTGTACAAATGGTGGGGCTGACCCCCCAGTGGGCTGAGGGGAGTGGCCAAAAAGGGTGATTTGGCTATATTGCTTTAAGCGACATCTTCTCGGGAACTAAGAGATGGATAGAAACAATATTTGACTGGAAGCATCCCTAGGTGGTGGAGATTCAAAATTGAACAAATGTTTGGGCTGACCCTCCAGGGGGCTGATGCGGTGCCAAAATGGGGCAATTTGGCTATATTGCTATAAACAACTTCTGTAGAACTATGCCATGGATATCGATCATATTTGGTCGGAAGCATTCATGGGAGGCAGGGATTCAAAATTGTACAAATAGTGGGACTGACCCCCCGGGCTAAGGGGTGGGGCCAAAATAAGTTTTATTACTTGAAAATGGTTGAGATCCCCACCATATAACCATATATACAATTGCTGAGTATATAGAAGAATGCACATTTGCTTCCAGGATGGCTCTAGGGTCTGGCCCCACCCTTGGAGACATAGTCCCTAGGCCATAACTTTAAAACGGTTGAGATCCCCACCCCAAAACTATATATACAAATGCTGGGCATAAAGAGACGAATGCAGTCATGATATTAGAAAAGACCCTGGGGTCTGACCGAACCCCTAGGGACCTAGTTTCTTAGTCACAGCTTGGAAACAGTTGAGATCACCACCCTATAACCATATATACAATTGCAGAGTATAAAGAGATGAATGCACATATGCTTCCAGGATGGCCTTGGGTACTACCCCACCCTTGGATACTTAACCTCAAAATGGTTAAGATCCCCACCCCAAAACTATATATACAATTGTTGCATGGCATAAAGAGACGAATGCAGTCATGATATTAGAATTGACCCCAGGGTCTGCCCCACCCTTGCAGACTTAACCCCTGGGTCATAACTTTGAAAGGGTTGAGATCCCCACCCCAAAATTATATATACAAATGCTGGGCAAAAAGAGACAAATGCAGTCATGATATTAGAATTGATCCTGGGGTCTAGCCAAAACCCTAGGGACCTAGTTTCTGAGTCACAGCTTGGAAACAGTTTAGATCCCCATCCCATAACCATACGTACAATTGCTGGGCATGAAAAATCTAATACAGATATGGTACAAGGATTGGCCTTCGGGTTTGGCATATTTCCTTGGATCTCATTTGGAGAATATTTTGCCATGATTGCTTAGATATCCAGGTGAGTGATACAGGACCTCTGGGCCTCTTGTTTATAATTCTTGGAAATCATAGAAATACACTTAACAGTTCAAAAAAAATATTGAATTATGCATAGACTTTTAGAATGAAATTTTTTCATTCTACTTAAAAGTAAAAAAATATATAATAAAACCCATTTTAGCAGTCAAATTAGTTATCATATAGCAGTATTGTTATGTATCTATATCTATGAGTTAATTACTGAAAATGAAAATGATGTCGTAGAAATCATATACATATAAATTATAAATATATAAGATAAAGGAACATTTGTGAAATAATACAAAATGAGCTAGATATAGTTTTATGTTTTGCATGCTTGTTTTGTATCAGTGTTGTGTTACCCTAGTATTTAACCCTAATGTCCCTAACTGTATAACGTGTCTTTAACATATTAAGTAGCAAGACTTTGTTCCAATGTGGTGAAAAGTTAGTTATAAGGTTTAATTTTGTAGTAAGTGAAATTGAATTAATTCACATCCAAAATATCAAAAGAAAACACTTGGACATAAAGATAAATTGTTAGAGTAATTTTGAATCATCACAGTTAGTGGTTAAATTAAAACATATTTAGATGTCATTAAACAATGACCAAGAGACTTTCTATAGTATTGGCAGATCTAAACAAACCGAAAAATAAGTTACCATAATTGAGTAATTATTTGTATGTTGACATGATCAGTAAATGGTTAGTTTGGAACAGTTACAATTCCCCTTTCTTTGTCTCCAGCTATATCTGAAGAAGGTTTTTATGAGATGCATGCTCAGAGAGAGGGTGTACATGAACCCAGTCATACACCAGAGCATTCACCAGAGATGGACCCAAAATATCTGCTGTGCCCACGGCGCGATGATGACGAGGATGGCGACTCGACTTGCTCACGCCTTATGGCCGCCTCTACTATATCAGCCCCTGAAGTGTCATTAGCTCCCTCCCCTGGTAACATTGGCAAGGTGAGTGAACCTCTGATACTCTTACTGAAATACCAGTATCTGTGATTGGTAAGGCATATCTTTGGTTGGTAAGGGGAATAGGGTTGAGGCAAGTATCTATGGACAGGGTATATTTGGCTGATACTGTAAAAATGGTTATTTTACATTTGCTGAATTAGTGCAGACAGAACATACCGATATATCATAAAATAGTTATGTTATAGCAGCCTTGACAGGGTAAACAGTTCCACACCGCAGATAACTTGTAAGAAAAATGTTTAACTGTATATTGTACCTATGGTAGGTCTGATGGATCTTTTAAAAGATTACAGTCAGGTTTGAAATGGAAGGTGTATTAACTGGAAACAATGGGATGATAATCATAACTGTATCTTGTTTTATTTTCCAGAGACCAAAATCACTAGAAGACAATTTAAATGAAAGCAGTTCCACAGAGCCTCCACCTAAGGGAAGCCTTAGCAGATTTAATTCTGTCAAGCGCAAACAGTTGGAACGATTACGTCAGAGATCTGATTGGTTCCTTGGACCTGCTAATGGCCAGAAATCGAGTAATGGCCAAAAGTCTGGCCACTCAGGGACCTCATTCCCACAATACACCCGTGAACATGAAAGACTTGTGGCAAAAAGTTCAGGGAATTCCGTAACTAAGGCATCTTCTGAAGGAGCTGCGCTTGATGTCATGTCGTCTGATGTAGACAGTGTGTTTTCCGAAGATAGTCGTAGTGAATCGCCTGCATCAGAGCCAATACGGACTCCGCCCATTAGGGTTACGCGTGACATCATCCACAGTGACACTATAGTGGATACACCCATGATGGACATGAGTGCGAGTCGTGAGTCGCAGGACCTCAACATGGACGAGGATGAGGAGATGGTGGATAGCGAGGTGTGCTACTTTGTGGTAGAGCACAAGTATGGACACACTGAGTCCTAGCGCTCAACTACATTCATAGTGTTCACAGTTGATTCCTTCTAATATATTATTAGTTATTATTATTGTATCATAGGGAAGGCTTTGACAGTTTTTTCCAGACTTAAGTGTAAGTTTTTTCCCTTTTTAAGATTCTCGCCATTTAAGACTGTAAACATTTATTTAATGTACTCAAGAGATTATGCTGACCCGTGAGTATAACAGTTTTTTAAGAGACATAATATTATAACTTTTATTATGATGGGATTTTGTTTTCTCTATGTAATACCTAGTGCGTTCAACAATTTTATCTGACAGACATGTTTTTACTGTTTTACATTTTAAATGACAGAGTGGGAAGGTGTCCGGACCATAGCGTAATGATATCATACACTATATTACACGATCTAACATTTTACCTTATATTTATCGTGTTGCAAATTCTTTTGCTTTTTACTTTGCTGTTTGCATAATGTAGATAGTGTTGCTGTAGCTTAAAATTCTTCAAATTCCTTTCCTTCCGAAAGATTACAACCTCATAAATTATATAAGTACTTGGTTGTGTTACTAGTTCTAACTAGATGTTTTGGTTCAGAGGAGCAGTCAGTGTTGTTTGTGGGAGAAAAAGTCCTGTTTAAGGTTGAGGCAATGATGGACCAGATAGGAGAAATACTGATAGAAGATTGAACCGATAAGCATGGCCTGGGACCACAAAACAACATCAATTTTCTTTATATAAAAATGTTTTAATATTTGATATTTAGCGTGATTTAAAAAAATCTTTAATTTTTTTTACCGCACATTCTCATGTTTCAACACCTTAAACAGTTAGCTCCCCTGAAACAGAATTCTCCTTTCCTGAAAACACTGACTGAAAGATCTCAACAAGTGCAATATATGCCTAAAATCATTTGAAATGTGTTTTAGAAAGTCCCTTGTGTTATGAATAAACATCCATGTACATTTGTTTTAAAAAGCTTTTTTTAGTATACATTTCTTGATGTGTTCTAGAAAAAAATAGACTGTTGTCTTCAAGTTCGGCAGCTTATGATTCTCAGCATAAAATCAGTTTATCCATTTCTTTATTAATATTTTTTCTGTAATAGGGAAAATACAAAATTTTTGTAGCTGATTATGAAAATAAGTTTGATTTTCACAAAGAAATTGAAACATGCCTGAGAAACTACAACATCGACTGCAGACATCATTTAGTGATATAATGGATACCAAAATCAATTCAAGTGTTCTACTCCGTGGAGGTATCTGGAGACCTAGTAAAGCTTAGTCAATGTAGTTACAGTTCTAGGTTGTTTACGCCGGAATCTGGAAACATTGTATTCATGTGGGGTAAATGCAATGACATTTGTACAGGTGTAGATACTGTACACAATCCTTACCTATACTGTAGTGAAACACTTCTCCAGGTATTTAGTTTGAAAACAATTTTGTTCAAAATCATTTAACCCTTTCACCCCTCTGTAACTTATAGACTCTACCATGCATCAAAATGGATGAGCCCATTATGGTCTAGAGTGGTGAAAGGGTTAAGAAACTGTTAACTCAACCATAATTTTCTGGAAAATTTAGTCATAGATTTTATTTGAAAAGGCTCAAATCAAATTGAAACTTTGATAGTTTCTTAGTCATAAATTACAAGTCATTCTTCATTGAACAAAATCACATCTTGCCATGATCAGTTTAATCATGAAAAACAGTTGTTTTTGGAAACATCCAATGAATTTTTATTTTGTTTACTTTTAATTCCAATTATATTTTAAATGTTCAAAACACTAAGTCACATACCATATTCAACATAACTAGTGCTCCAGTATTTGAAAAAAAAGTTGTTCAATCTGCTTATTTCTCAATAAAATTTTGTTGGGACATTCAACAATATTCACTCTGAAAAAAGTTTCAAAACACTTATCTGCCTAGCAGTAATTTAATTTTCAATATTAATTCAATGTGAAAGACAACCCATCAGACAACATATGAATAATACTGGTCAAGTGGGGGAGGGGAACTTAGTCAAAGCAGGGGCTCTAATTACATGTAATATGGTATCATTTTTTAAATTTTTATCTAAGCTAACACATAGATGCAATAAATATGTAGATGTATTTTGCTATTATTTTTTGTTTTGTTATATGCAGCTTGATCAAGTCTTGCTGTTAGTTTTGTTTAACCCTATAAGTTTATGTTGTATTGTTTATAGATACTGCAAATTAGGACTCTATCATTGTTTTTGCTGTCATACTTTTTTTTAATAAATAAACATTGTAGAAACATACCTTAATGTGACAAGTATAATATCATTTGCTTAGACCTATGATGACCAAAATTCAAACGTTCAGTATTGTTTAAGCACACTTTTCAAAACTTTCATGGGGTATACTGTATATTGGGTTGTTTATGTGTAATGCAAAGTCGTTTAGAATTAAAATTTCTGCATTTACACTTTCACTGTTTTATCCCCATACTATTACTGTTAGGTCAGCGTGTGGTATTTTTGATGTGTGATTAAAAGTTTGCACAATTGTTTTGCAATTTTTCATCAAGTTAATAAAGTGAAATTTGACACTTGCAAAATTACTTGATATACAATATTTCCTAATTTGCAGTACCTAATCCAGAAAACTAGTCAGCGTGTAGCTTATGTAGATAACTCCACTCCATGTCATCCACCCTTAGCTGATTGTTTGGGGACTTTAGAAGTTTTTAGTACTTATGGATACCTCCTGCAGCACCTGTAAGAAAAAATACCTGGCTAAAATGAACTTATTTGAACAGCTTGTCATGAGAGATTTTATATATGAAAATCAAAATGAAATGACACAGACCCTGCAGTTATTATGATTTTATGTTACTGTTGATGTATATTGTACTGGATATTAAGATTTGCCTGTAAGCTTGTAGTCAAACGTTGAGAATCAGATATCTGATTTATTTTGTCTTTTGATCTTAGTTAAACAAAATAGGAAATCATTCGCGTAGCTGCATGTGAAGATAAGGCCTTTTATTTGAACAAAGTTTTATCAAAATCAATTAGATATATTCTGGTACAGTGATCAGATTTGTCAGAAGTGTAAAATGTAACTCAATCTTAGGAGGTAGATTTTGTTGAATAAGAGGCCATGATATGTGATATCGTCTGTTTACTTGCTTGCTTTGGTTGCTGAGTAGTTGTACTCTGAGCAAATAATCGTATAATGTTGTAATCTGTCTCGGTATAATTTACGATGTGGCAGGGAAATCATGATGTATAGCAAGTCCCCTTAATTATTTTGTCTAATTTTATCTTTGATGTATTGTCACTCTTGTTCAAATTTTTACTATATACTTAAAGATTTCATTACAAATATTCATTTTATCAATACAATTTAAAAAGGAAGCTTTCAATGTGAATGGAAGCATATGTTAAAATGTAAAAGGATACATTTTTTCATTAGGTTGATATATGTTTCATACAATTGTCTGTTGTAAATGAATGTTTTAAGAGAATATATTTGTTTTTTATTCAGTATTCAGTTGACACAGTGTCTCTTTGTAACCCACATATATAAACATACATGTTCAGTTGATTGTAGAGCGTACTACAGATACCCTACTCTATGTCCTATACAGCTCTACTACAGCTTATTACAGAACCTACACCCTTACACATCAGGCTAGAACAGGCTACATACATGCACACCTTAAATTTATTTTATATAAAATACTAATTGTATACTTTTCCAGTTTGATATTTTTTAGAAAAGCTACACCCAAACAGAAGATTCTAGAATGGGTACTGGTTGTTGGACTCTCCAACACTGGCACTCTTATAGCCTATTTCGGCAGCATTCAAGCCTGTACAGTCTCTTGGTGTGGTGAGGTCACTTTCATGTAAATTTTGTGTTGCTTCACGCAGTTTTAGTAGTAACGCAAAACCTGAATATTGCTGTCACACTGCGTGGGTCATCGCTTACAGTAATAGTACCTAATTAATATATTTACTCTGTTGCTGTCACACTGCGGGGTCATCGCTTACAGTTATAGTACCTAATTAATATATTTACTCTGTTGATGCTTATGTAATTATCAGTTGTATGGTTTTGTAAATTAGTGCATGTCTACAGACAAGACATAGATAATATAAACTTAATATTAAATGGCAATCGATGCACATGAGCAAGCAAAGCTGGGCAGTACATGTGAAGATCCTGACTGTGGCTATCCCAGGGGAGGTAACTCTGTTGGTACAATTGGTTTTTCTTCATGTAGCTTCAGAAAGGAGGAAATAGCTTTTTTGATCTGATGGAATGGACATTAAAACCAATTGAACAGTTATAAGCCACATAGCATGTGGGAAAAAGAAATATATATCCTCTTGAAAACATGTCATTTTAGTTTAACTGGTGGCAGTGTTTGATGTACCTCGTTGGTTCTGTTAGAGCAATGTACGACCACAGACTTTGCGTTGCTACATGTGCATCCCCATGTGCATTGACTGCACGTTGCACAGTCATTCCAATATGTGTGTGATCATTGTTTGCTAAATATTTTATTAACTTTTATTATTTTCTTAAACAAATATTTTGTACATGACAAATATCCAGAAGCAGCTGCTGACAGAAATAAACGTATGTTTTGATGAAGATGCTGCCTAGATAGGTTAAATTCTGACATGTGATGTTTGGTGTACAAGTAAGGTCACAGAAAAAAGGTCAAATTAAAATGATATTGAAACCTTAAAATCTCTCTGGATAATTAGTAGTCTGTCGGGGGGTTTTCAATCTCTATGGAGGTCAAATTAAAATGATATTGAAACCTTAAAATCTCTATGGATAATTAGTAGTCTGTCAGTGGGTTTTCAATCTCTATGCATAATTAGTAGTCTGTCGGTGGGTTTTCAATCTCTCTGGATAATTAGTAGTCTTTCAGTGGGTTTTCAATCTCTATGGATAATTGGTAGTCTGTCGGTGGGTTTTCAATCTCTCTGGATAATTAGTAGTCTGTTGGTGGGTTTTCAATCTCTCTGGATAATTAGTAGTCTGTCGGTGTGTTTTAATCTCTCTGGATAATTAGTAGTCTGTCGGTGGGTTTTCAATCTCTCTGGATAATTAGTAGTCTGTTGGTGGGTTTTCAATCTCTATGGATAATTAGTAGTCTGTCGGTGGGTTTTCAATCTCTATGGATAATTAGTAGTCCGTCGGTGTGTTTTGTAAATGGACTGAATTTTCACAAGATGTTTCTGCAATGTCCATTTATCTTTTCGTAAAATTTACAAAGCAATATTAAAAACATAGGCAACTGTTCAAGTGTTGATATTACACGAATATTCTCTTTCCAGTTCACCTATACCTGATCATGTGACTAATGGAGAAAATGACCTTCACATTGTACGTGAGCTGTGAGCATGTTTCATTACAAACACTATGTGAGATCTCAAGGTTACTCTGACAGTTGTACATATTTGCTATCAGCTTGTGTTATTTTAATTCCATTCTCCAATAATTTTGTTGTGATTTGATGTAGTGGGACAGAGCTGAGAGAGAGAGTCATCTGTCTTATGTTTCCAGAATCAAAGTTGGCTGTTTAGGTTTAGACGTTTAAAGCAAAATTACATATAAACTCATTATCATGGTATTCAAAAGAAATGCAAGATGGTATGATCTCAATATATATGTAGCAGTTTTATAAGTGATTCAGTGATACTTCACTCGGTACGTACAGGTTCAGGAGAGGTTATTGGTAACGAGACCGGACAGCAGCAAGGACCATTGTGTAGACAATGGAGCAGTCATGTGACCCTCTTCAAACATGGGGCCACTTACAACATATACTAAATGGATTAATGCCACTAAGATCATTGAAAAATGAAATTACAGTGAATAACAAGGTTATAGAGGTTAGCTGTTTTGTTACCTGATGATGCTGTATAAGTCGGTGTTAACTACCCATTACGCTACATCAAGGTCATCTCGACCTCCATGGTCACTAAGTACACTTCTAACTCTTGGTGTGCTCAGGTTGTGAACAGTATAGTGTAAACACTGAACAACATACCGTAAATCACCTTCATCTTGCTGTTGTGCTTAAACTGGTGAGAATTGGAACTTGCAGAAGGAACTAACAAATATGGGTCTCTTTATGTCCCAAGAAAAATCATTTTGTTTACAGTCCTCTTAGATAAACTTGACTACTACACCTTAAACATTTTCATCCTTCACGGTGTACCATTAATTACACTGGTACAAATGTGAACACACATGCTTACCCTGGTACACATGTGCTTACACTGGAACAAATGTGTACACATATGCTTACCCTGGTACACTTGTGCTTACCCTGGTACAAATGTGTATACACATGCTTACCCTGGTACACATGTGCTTACCCAGGTACAAATGTGCTTACACTGGTACAAATGTATACACACATGCTTACCCTGGTACACATGTGCTTACCCTGGTACAAAAGTGAACACACATGCTTACCCTGGTTCACATGTGCTTACACTGGTACAAATGTGTACACACATGCTTACCCTGGTACACATGTGCTTACATTGGTACAAATGTGCTTACACGTGCTTACACTGGTACAAATGTGTATACACATGCTTACCCAGGTACAAATGTGTACACACATGCTTACCCTGGTACAAATGTGTACACACATGCTTACCCTGGGACAAATGTGAACACACATGCTTACCCTGGTTCACATGTGCTTACACTGGTACAAATGTGTATACACATGCTTACCCTGGTACACATGTGCTTACCCTGGGACAAATGTGAACACACATGCTTACCCTGGTACTCTCATGTGCATACATAAAAAGTTAACATGGAACATATGTATACACACATGCTTACCCTGGTACACATGTGCTTACCCTGGTACACATGTGTTTTCCCAGGTACAATTTTGTATACATGTGCTTATTCACCTTTCACTTCAGAAGTTGATAATGGAATAACTACATCATTTACATTCCTCTGATTCACTTGTTATAAAGATGTCTGTAACATTCAGTAAATGGGGAGTAAAGTCACATATCATCAGTCAGGATGGTAACCTACAATGAACCATAGGAGTTCAATTTCTCACATCAATTCAAATACCGCTTACTTGTAAATGTTTTGAAAGCCATTATGATTTTTTCCCTTGAAGGACGAGTTTCGAATCCACATCTGTTGATTATATATATGTGGACATATTTTGTTGCTCCTACAAGGCTAGAAAATAATGGCATTCAAACACTTTTTAAACCTTTTGGATCCTAAAATTGTAATAAATTGACACGGTAGTAGCAAAATCTTGAATGTAGTTTTTCCCCCCAAGGTACATTATCAATATACCCAGGTAAAAAAATCTTCGAATTTAAAAGTGTAACATATCACTTCAATAGATTATTTCTTTCTTGCTAGAAAATTGACCCTGAAGACCATTATTTATCTTGGTCAGGGTTTTGAATAAGTCTTGCAAAGCTGAAGTGCCTATGAAGTGTTTCCTATGTGACTCTCTGCTACCATTATTGTAACTATGTGAGAATATAACTAACACAGGTCACCCAGCATGTCAACTGTTAATACATGGTAGGTTGTGTTAGGTTGACTGTTACACACTGTATGTTGTGAGAAGTTGACTGTTTCACACTGTATGTTGTGTGAAGTTGACTGTAACACATTGTGTGTTGTGTGAAGTTGACTGTTACACACTGTATGTTGTGTGGAGTTGACTGTTACACACTATGTGTTGTGTGAAGTTGACTGTTGTACATTACATGTGATCCTGTGAGGTTGACTGTAACACATTAGATGTGATCTTGTGAAGTTGACTGTAACACATTGTATGTTGTGTGAAGTTGACTGTTATACACTGTATGTTGTGTGAAGTTGACTATAACACATTGTATGTTATGTGAAGTTGACTGTTACACACTGTATGTTGTGTGGAGTTGACTATAACACATTGTATGTTGTGTGAAGTTGTATGTTGTGTGAAGTTGACTGTTACACACTGTGTGTTGTGTGAAGTTGACTGTTACACACTGTGTGTTGTGTGAAGTTGTATGTTGTGTGAAGTTGACTGTAACACATTGTATGTTGTGTGAAGTTGACTGTTACACATTGTATGTTGTGTGAAGTTGACTGTAACACATTGTATGTTGTGTGAAGTTGACTGTTGCACATTACATGTGATCCTGTGAAGTTGACTGTTGCACATAACATGTGATCGTGTGAAGTTGACTGTAACACATTAGATGTGATCTTGTGAAGTTGACCAACACATTACATGTGATCCTGTGAAGTTGACTGTAACACATTACATGTGATCCTGTTTAGTTGACTGTAACACATTACATGTGATCTTGTGAAGTTGACTGTAACACACTACATGTGATCCTGTGAAGTTGACTGTAACACATTACATGTGATCTTGTGAAGTTGACTGTTGTACATTACATGTGATCCTGTGAAGTTGACTGTTGCACATTACATGTGATCCTGTGAAGTTGACTGTAACACATTACATGTGATCCTGTGAAGTTGACTGTAACACATTACATGTGATCCTGTGATGTTGACTACCACAGATGACCATTGTGGAGGACTGTTACACACGTATGTGATTGTAGTAAATGACTATAGGATGGGAAGCACTTGTTTGTTGTGAAGAAAGTAGATAATAGTAATATATACTGTTTTTCATACATACGTATCATTATTTCTGTGTGGTTTAATGTATCTTGGCATATGTGTCGCCCTTTTGTATACAATCTTCCATTATTTTTTTTCTGGTCTTTGAAAAAAATTCTCAATAGAATAAAATTCACTTGATACAACTTATCATGTTGTTTGTTATGTATTTGATGCAAAATACTTCGTAAGCAGAAGCTGTTCCGTATATGATACCTAACATGGAATTGGCTAGTATCGGATATACAATTATTTAATGGAAAATATCATTACAGTGAACTCCGTGACAAGTTATTTGATCTTGGCAAAATTCTTCTTTAACATGAGTATTTAAACTCTCGCTAATCCGAACCCTTTCTGTTCTATAAACCAACCATGTTCCTGGTTTTGTCCATATATAATACTGTATGCAGTGAAACTTTCAATCAGTAAATTTTCGCCCTTTGCTGGTATAATTGGTTTTCAAGAAGTGTTATTTTCGCCCTTCACCTGTCGGTATTATATCAGAAAATTGCTTAATGACATATATATAAATAGAATCCATCCCTGACTCCAGGTATGGATAAGGTCATTCAAACCCACGGGGAAAAATATTAAGCAGAAGACCCTAAAGCCTCAAGTCTTCTGCTTAATATTTACCCCCTTGGGTTTGATTGACCTTATCCATACCTGGAGTCAGGGATGGGTTCTATTTCTTGCTTGTTATCTAAAACCTGTAAAAAAGCTACTCTTCTAGTAAAGGTGTCAACTGTCCGCACATTTCTCATTAGCATATGAAGCCCAGATGGCAATTGTTAATGACCCCGACTGACCCCAAAACGTCATAAAATGACGTTACGAACAATAGCGTGACCCCAAAAGGTCACTACAATTCCCCCGCCAGTCTGAGCTTGTACGCGATCCAGACCCATGGGTCGGATAGAGTTTTCCAGCACCGCTGGAAATGTGGAGATCTTGGTCTAGTATGCAAGAAAGTGAAAATACATTGACCGATTCTATTGGAAGATTAGTAACTAAAATTGACAAGTTTGACAATCCTTGCAAATATGTTTGTCCTGAATATCAGAAGTACATTTTGTACTTCATTACTTTAGGAGAAGGACAAAAAGGGAAGACATGAGTAGCTCACAAATCTTTATTGAACAATTTCAAACCAATTCAACATGTACACACTCACACAAGCATTCATTTTGCCATGGAAACAGGAACACTAATGTATTGACCATGATCCCAATGGGATTTTGAATGATCAACAAACGAATCCTCAACAATTCAAGGTTGATGATTTTCAAGTCCAAAGTTTTTAAAACTATGAAATTAAATGCATTCAATTCCAAAGAGTATTATTAGTTGAATTGCACAGGGGTTGTCATATGGAATACAGAAACTCTCTGAGTAGCTACGAAGGTGTCAACAGAAGACTAACCAATACCTACCTTGTATGGGTAGGGTTTCAAAGATGTCTAGCTATCCTAGGATATTATACACTGTGACTAAGAAGTTTTATTATTACCAAAATGTCTGTACTTCCTGTTTGTGAGGGGATGTCTCAATGAGACTGTTATATTCATTCATTCTATAAATGCAACATCAGAAAGATCGTGAAATCATCATTCACACATTGAAAAAAATTCGGTCAAAAAAATATCAGTCGAGATCTATGAAGCAAATGTTGCCCACCATCCTTATTCACAGGCAATAAAATTGTGGTCATTGATCAGGGACTTATCCACATGGAGGACTTGTACATGACCTATCCAAAGGTAGGACATTGCAGTCATATGGAGGACTTGTACATGACCTATTCAAAGGTAGGACATTGCAGTCACATGGTGGACTTGTACATGACCTATCCAAAGGTAGGACATGGCAGTCACATGGAGGACTTGTACATAACCTATGTAAAGGTAGGACATTGCAGTCACATGGATGACTTGTACATGGCTTATACATGACTTATCCAAAGGTAGGAAATTGCAGTCACATGGAGGACTTGTACATGACCTGTCCAAAGGTAGGACATTGCAGTCACATGGATGACTTGTACATGACTTGTACATGCCTTATCCAAAGGTACGACATTGCAGTCACATGGAGGACCTGTACATGACTTATCCAAAGGTAGGACATTGCAGTAACATGGAGGACTTGTACATGACTCATCCAAAGGTAGGACATTGCAGTAACATGGAGGACTTGTACATGACTCGTACATGACTTATCCAAAGGTAGGACATTGCAGTCACATGGAGGACTTGTACATGGCTTATACATGACCTATCCAAAGGTAGGACATTGCAGTCACATGGAGGACTTGTACATGACTTATCCAAAGGTAGGACATTGCAGTCACATGGATGACTTGTACATGACTTGTACATGACCTATCCAAAGGTAGGACATTGCTGTCACATGGAGGACTTGTACATGACTTGTACATGACTTATCCAAAGGTAGGACATTGCAGTAACATGGAGGACTTGTACATGACCTATCTAAAGGTAGGACATTGCAGTAACATGGTGGACTTGTACATGACTTATACAAAGGTAGGACATTGCAGTAACATGGAGGACTTGTACATGGCTTATACATGACCTATCCAAAGGTAGGACATCGCAGTCACATGGAGGACTTGCACATGACTTATCCAAAGGTATGACATTGCAGTCACATGGATGACTTGTACATGGCTTATACATGACCTATCCAAAGGTAGGACATCGCAGTCACATGGAGGACTTGTAGATGACTTATCCAAAGGTAGGACATTGCACTCACATGGAGGACTTGTACATGACTTATCCAAAGGTAGGACATTGCAGTCAAATGGAGGACTTGTACATGACTTGTACATGACCTATCCAAAGGTAGGATATTGCAGTCACATGGAGGACTTGTACATGACTTATACATGACTTATCCAAAGATAGGACAAAATCAAGGACTATGGGAAACCTACATATCAAATTTGAGAAAAATCTGTTAAGTAATTCTTCAAAAATAGCAAAAACAATCTTCAACTGTCAAATCCAAGACAGCTGCTTGTTATTTTTTTCCAAAATCAAGGACTATGGGAAACCTACATATCAAATTTGAGAAAAACCTTTTAAGTAATTCTTCAAAAATAGCAAAAACAATCTTTAACTGTCAAATCCAAGACAGCTGCTTGTTATTTGTTTCCCCCTTATTAATCTCAAAATAAAACTTGCACAATAATTGACCACAGGGGAATCTGCATATGAAATTTGAGAAGTACTTGTTGTGAAATAGTGATAACAAACTTGGGCTCTCAAAATCTAAGATGGCTGTCTGGTGGCCAGCTTGTTTTCTGATCAGTCCGAAAATGAAACATGCACAATTATAGGGACCAAAGTGAACCTTCATATGAAAATTCAGGAAGATCAGTTCAGTACTTCTTGAGTTCTAGCAATAAAATTCCTAGAGATCAACCTGTGTAAGGTGTTGGATAGGTGATGCAGAGGTCCTGAGCCTGACTTCTGGTCGTAAAGTGTTGGATAGGTGGTGCAGAGGTCCTGAGCCTTTTTTTGCTTTTTAATTTTTCATTCAAATACCATTTTTTTTTACAGCTATTACTTTTTTAAACGAATTGCAAGACATGTTTTTGACATGAAATACATCTGGAGAAGAGAGCCCATGACAATTATATGTTTTACCTCTTGGTATAATACTTTTGCTGAAATTTCGCAAAAACTTTGATTTTTAATTCTTTACAATTACCGTAAAAACCCATGTAATTTGCGCACCTGTGTAATTTGGGCAGGTCCTTTTTGAGGCTGAAAATCGGAGAAAAAAGCTTCTACTCGAATATTTTGCGCACCGAAAAATTCTGGAATTTTTTTCTTTCTTTCATTGATGTAAAATGATATTAACTACATAAAATGTGTATTTTGTTGTTCGTTTTCTTTGAATTATCTGATCACACACGTGTGCGCATATCGGCATACATAAATTCATTTTAGTAATATTTTACATAAAACAGTTACATTGTAAGTGTAACAACTACTAGATTGGATTTCCCACAGTTACATTGTAAGTGTTACAAAGTCCTACTGAAAGTACTAAAACTCTAACAAAACACATGTTAGTAACAAAACACATGTTAGTAACAAAACACATGTTAGTAACTAAACACATGTTAGTTTTACCAAAATACAAGAGGCCCATGGGCCTAAATGGTCACCTGAGTCCTACAGTATTTATTTTTGTTTTTAAAATATGAGTACAAAATAGTAAAGTATAACATTAACTTAAGTTTGTCAGAACCATGAGCTGATCATTCCTAGACCAAGTTTCAGTTAAATCGACCTATATTGGATTTCTGATCGACCTGAAAAATAACAACACTTTGTCAGGACCATGAGTCGATCATTCCCACAAAGTTTCAGTTCAATCGGCCTATATTGGATTTCTGATCGACCTGAAAAATAACAACACTTTGTCAGGACCATGAGTCGATCATTCCCACAAAGTTTCAGTTCAATCGGCCTATATTGGATTTCTGATCGACCTGAAAAATAACAACACTTTGTCAGGACCATGAGTCGATCATTCCCACAAAGTTTCAGTTCAATCGGCCTATATTGGATTTCTGATCGACCTGAAAAATAACAACACTTTGTCAGGACCATGAGTCGATCATTCCCACAAAGTTTCAGTTCAATCGGCCTATATTGGATTTCTGATCGACCTGAAAAATAACAACACTTTGTCAGGACCATGAGTCGATCATTCCCACAAAGTTTCAGTTCAATCGGCCCAGTAGAACGTCAATTTAAGTTTGAAATAGTTTTTCAAAATGGCGGCCACGGTGGCCATATTGGATTTCTGATCGACCCGAAAAATAACAACACTTTGTCAGGACCATGAGTTGATCATTCCTACAAAGTGTCAGTTCAATCGGCCCAGTAGAACTTGACTTTAAGTTTGAAATAGTTTTTCAAAATGGCAGCCGTGGCGGCCATATTGGATTTCTGATCTACCCGAATAATAACAACACTTGGTCAGAGAGATGTCAGTAACATTCCCATGAAGTATCAGTAAACTCCCTTTGCCAGTGTTCGTTTTTAAGTTGAAAATGTAAAATGTTAACGGACGACAGACGATGGACGACGGACAACGACGGACGAAGACGGATAGCAATAGGTCACTTGAGCTAAAGCTCAGTTGACCTAAAAATGGAAGTCCTGTCAAACTTGAAAATGTGATTTTCATATTTTTACAAAATTGTATTTGTGACTGTGACATGTAGTGGACAAGCAAACACTTTGTAGACAATGCAAAAGTATGTAGAATATTTTTTACAAAGTAAATAACTATTTCTTAAATCCATCCAATGCTATGTCAATGTGTGTTATTCCAGACATGTAAATGTTACAACTGTTATAAAGCAAGTAATGAACTATGTAAATCAATCCGTCATAAAAGTTCAATTTAAAATAGTACTTAAACATAATCAAAAGCAATACAAAATCAAGTCCACTAACAGTGGAACAGATCAAAAGTTAAGTCAACAAACCATGCAGTAGGTATACACTTAACATAATGACAAACTGGAAATCTTCAACTCCAAATAACTCAAACAATTTGAAACTCAACGTTGCAATTTTTACCAAACAAAATGCAATAAAGCTAAAAAAACAACATACATCGTACATGCAATATTTTTATGCAATATCATTTTTTAGGAAAATGTCTGTAAAACAAGATTGACCTTTGGTCCCCTAGCTCCATGATTTAACAGTATTTTTTTTATTTAGATCAACATCAAAACAAAGGAAACAAAGAGTTATTGCAAAACACAGCACCCACTAAAACCAACTAAAGGCTAACAGCAGACCAGGAAAAACAGTTAAATAAAGGTCTGCTTCAGGTTAGTAATTTGACTTCCGGGTAAATGAGGCCACGGTACAGGTACGTTATCATTATTAAAGGGTGAACAAGTCCATTTTTCAGGTAGCTTATTGTTATCAATACGGTATATGAGGGCATACTACTGGTATAGGAGTAGGTTTGTTTGTGTTTTAGGTCCTATTAACAGCTATGGTCCGTCAAGGATGTGCCGGGTTTTGGTGGTGGAGGAAAGCCGGAGTACCCGGAGAAAGAACAACAACAACCGACCTGTGGCCAGTACCTGGCGACTTCTTCTTGTAGGCCTCGAACCCGCAACCTAGTGGTGGAGGGCTAGTGGTAGCAGAATGTCAGACACCTTAGACCAATCAGGTGGACTGTCTGAATTCCTTAGACTAATCACATGTACTGTCTTAATTCCTTAGACTAATCACATGGACTGTTTGAATTCCTTAGACTAATCACATGGACTGTCTGAATTCATTAAGACCAATCACATGGACTGTCTGAATTCCTTAGACTAATCACATAGACTGTCTGAATTCCTTAGACCAATCACATGGACTGTCTGAATTCATTAAGACTAATCACATGTACTGTCTTAATTCCTTAAACTAATGAGGTGGATCTGTCTGAATTCCTTAGACAAATCACATAGACTGTCTGAATTCATTAAAACTAATCGCATGTACTGTCTTAATTCCTTAAACTAATTTAGGTGGACTTTCTGAATTTCTTAGACTAATCATATGGACTGTTTGAATTCCTTAGACTAATCACATGGACTGTCTGAATTCCTGAAACAAATGAGGTGGACTGTCTGAATTCCTTAGACAAATCACATGTACTGTCTGAATTATTTTAGACTAATCGCATGTACTGTCTTAATTCCTTAAACTAATGAGGTGAACTGTGTGAATTCCTTAGACCAATCACATGGACTGTTTGAATTCCTTAGACTTATATAATCACATGGACCGTGTGAATTTCTTAGACCAATCACATGGGCTTTCTGAATTCCTTAGACCAATTACATGGACTGTCTAAATTCCTTAGACCAATCACTTGGACTGTCTGAATTCCTTAGACCAATCACATGGACTGTCTGAATTCCTTAGACCAATCACATGGACTGTCTGAATTCCTTAGACCAATCACATGGACTGTCTGAATTCCTTAGACCAATCACATGGACTGTCTGAATTCCTTAGACCAATCACATGGACTGTCTGAATTCCTTAGACCAATCACATGGACTGTCTGAATTCCTTAGACCAATCACATGGACTGTCTGAATTCCTTAGACCAATCACATGGACTGTCTGAATTCCTTAGACCAATCACATGGACTGTCTGAATTCCTTAGACCAATCACATGGACTGTCTGAATTCCTTAGACCAATCACATGGACTGTCTGAATTCCTTAGACCAATCACATGGACTGTCTGAATTCCTTAGACCAATCACATGGACTGTCTGAATTCCTTATACTAATCACATGGACTGTCTGAATTCCTTAAGACTGATCAGTTGGACTGTCTGAATTCCTTAGACTAATCACATGGACTGTGTGAATTCCTTAGACCAATCACATGGGCTTTCTGAATTCCTTAGACCAATCACATGGACTGTCTGAATTCCTTAGACTAATCACATGGACTGTCTGAATTCCTTAAGACTGACCAGTTGGACTGTCTGAATTCCTTAGACCAATCACATGGACTGTCTGAATTCCTTAGACCAATCATATGGACTTTCTGAATTCATTAAGACCAATCACATGGACTGTCTGAATTCCTTAAACTAATTTAGGTGCACTTTCTGAATTCCTTAGACCAATCAAATGGGCTGTCTGAATTCCTTAGACCAATCACATGGACTGTGTGAATTCCTTAGACTGATCACATGGACTGTGTGAATTCCTTAGACCAATCACATGGACTGTCTGAATTCCTTAGACCAATCACATGGACTGTCTGAATTCCTTTGACTGTTCATATGGACTGTTTGAATTCCTTAGACTAATCATATGGACTGTCTGAATTCCTTAAACCAATCACATGGACTGTCTGAATTCCTTAGACCAATCACTTGGACTGTCTGAATTCCTTAAGACTAATCAGGTGGACTGTCTGAATCCCTTAGACTAATCACATGGACTGTCTGAATTCCTTAGACCAATCACTTGGACTGTCTGAATTCCTTAGCCTAATCACATGGACTGTCTGAATTCCTTAGACCAATCACATGGACTGTCTGAATTCCTTAAGACTAATCAGGTGGACTGTCTGAATTCCTTAGACTAATCACATGGACTGTCTGAATTCCTTAAACTAATCATATGGACTGTTTGAATTCCAAAGACCAATCACAAAGCTCAATGTCTGCAGACCAATCAAAAGCAAGAAGAAATTCCACTGACAGCCATTCATATTTATCACAATGACTGCCTCGTATCCAATGACCAATCTTAAGGAATGATCTATATTTACCAAGCAAAGAGTGAATACCAAGATACTTAGCAATCACAACAACATACCCAGACAATTTGGGTTTTTATATCAACACTAAGGGATCTTACATGTAGCTGAAATCAATACCTGTACATACTGTTAATTTGTCATGCTGGTTTTTTTTTATAACTGAGATATTCATTTTATATTTGATTTTTGCACTATTTATGAAATACATATATGTAACACTCCTGATGACATTGGAATTACGATATAAATATATGGTACAATCGTACCTGATGATACAATCACTATCAGGTTCCAATTTCCATGTAAAGTAATCAAATCATTGGAATTCTGACGTATTGATGGAATATCTAATTAACACTGCAGCATAAAAATATCATATTTGGTTATAAATTCTGGTTTAAACCTTGAACCTATAAATATACTTAAAACTGGTAATCTTGTTTAACTTACCGTATAAATATATGTCACAATCTGGTGTACACTAGCATACATGCATGGGTACAACTATCTGTTTTCTTAATTAACTTAGTAAGTTAACATTATGCAAAATCTTGTCAAAATATACATAATTAATTAAAGCAATTTATAAATGAAATATACAACAAACATAAATATTTGTATATGCCATGAAAAGCAAAAAATATTCTCAACTTTCAGCTATAAACTAAATATTTACTTTTTCTACAATACTTAATGTATATTATATTAAGATGCATCCAAATAACTTCTTTTATCTTGTGGACTTGACAAGGTAATCATGGGAAACTGGGCTGCTTTCAGTAGGTAAATCTCCTAAAATAATGTGTTGATGTAAATCTCCTAAAATAATGTGTTGATATAAACAATCTTTTTAAATACAACATTTCAAAATGACAGACAAGGTAGAGTACAGTGTAAATAACAAATCCTACTGATAAACACTGCTACGTCAGTCCCACTAATTACCAACGGAGGTTTGTGTTGACTGATACACCGAGACCAAAAGTACGTCCTGATGGTATAATATATTACAGCACAAGTATGTGTTTCACTAAAATCACTAAGGGGAAATAACCTGTGTTTACATCGGTATCAAAATACCGACTAAAGTCTGCTTAACTACTAACAATGGCCAAACTTTTAATGTACTATTCTGGTACTTGTTCAAAAATTAATCAAAATGCTGAAATCCAATATCAACCATGCCATTTACTTAGGAGAATGCAACTTCAAGTTAGTAGTCAACTGAAAAATATTGACACACACATGTGTGACACCTATCCTAAAAGTAGTAAAACAAAGTGAACTCATAAGAGTCCAACACACCTTACACAGGTACCAACCTGTATCTCCATGGATTTCTAGTTACACACCGTACACAGGTACCAACCTGTATCTCCATGGATTTCTAGTTACACATCTTACACAGGTACCAACCTGTATCTCCATGGATTTCTAGTTAGAAGTGAGAACTAACGACACGTACCCTGTATATCCTCGTACTTAAACCCTGCATCATGTGGAGGATAGGACCAATAGGATTTAGTGTTATTAATTAGTCACCACACAAATAGGATTATTATGATTAACATATAGATAAGGATTTCCTGCTAAACAGTGCCCAACAGATAACATGTAGATGACCAGGAATCAATTTCATGAATCAATTTTATGTCCAAGTTACTGATGCAAAATATAAAAAAATGGAATATCTTTATTGGAATTATATGTGTGTATCAGAAAAAACTGGAACCAATTCACCCTTCATTTAAAATTATAAAATAATTCAAATCTGCTTTTAAAAATTTAACGTATTACCATACCAAACCATACTTTTCTAATCTATTTTGAAATATTTCCTATGGGTAAAATTTACAGGGTGTATCATAGTTGCCAGAGTCTACTGGACCTGTATGTTACCTCAATTTTTAAGTTTTAAGTTTTATAAGATTTTTAAAATGAAAAAAAGGAAACAATTTTCAGTGTTTACTTTTAGTGAAAAGATGCTACAATTGAAAACGGTAAAAATGAGCTATTAATGGTTGATTTGGACCTGCTATGGCAAAAATATCTGAGCGAATGTGCTGTATAAAACCGAGGTAAATATCGGGTATTCACAGGTGAAATGCAGGTTTTATGAAACAATATATAATTGACTTGCCATTGTTTCATAAAACAACACTTGCCTATTGTTGGTAAATAGGTTGGCACTCTGAGAACACCCCAATGTACATGAAAGTGAGGCAAGGTCACATTTTCCAAGCCCATGTATAACCCTAACATTCAAAAATGAATCCTTGCCAATATTCTGCAATATTTCACTACAAAAATAATTTCATTTTTCAAAATAGATTGTCAAAAGAAGTTTGGAAGTTTCCATAAAACATTCTAGTGAAATATAGTGCATAAAATAGGTACAAGAAGATTAAATGTTTGGCACTTAGGCTGAGCCCCCAGTTCAACCTTACATATGAGTAAAACAAATGTCACCTGTCATACTTTTAAGTCGTCACTTTTTGTTAACTAAAAAGTCACACATTTTCCGTTTATTCACTGTACATGTGAATGGTATTCTATCGATAATTAGACATAATGTCTGTACCTAAACAGTCTCAATCTGGTACAGCCCAAAATCCACTTGCATGTGTTTTTTTAATATCAAAATGTGACGAGATTGTCGTACTGGTATTCTTTATACCCTTCCTAATTTGTATAGCCGATTTTAATTCATAATGAAGTCATGATAGGTCTGAAAACCTAATGAAAGCCAACAGGAGCCTAACTGTATGTGTTGTTATTCGGATGCTACATGATTAAAATTACTTCCCAACAGAATCCAGATAATTGTTTTTAAATCAATAGTCTGATTAATATCTATTAAAGGTTCCTACTTAATATTCAGTATGTATGCCATAGTAAGGCATCTGTAAACAGATCGTATGACTTCCATCTAAAAAAATCATAGTAGTTAAAATAGAAAGAAAAAAAGGCTAAACAAAGTCAAAATAAAATATCTTTTGTTAAAATACAGGTCTCTTGTATGTCATAATTTTTTTCCAATTTAAACTTTTCCTAATACAAGTAGTGTTTCCAGGATACATTGTGTCATGGTTACGAGTTCTTGTCTAACGTAGAGACCGACATAATATTCTCACAGATGTTTCCACTCATACTCAATCACACTATGAGAAGCCATGTCAGAGTACAAATCAATTTTTAGACAATGGTGACCAGTTTCTGATGAGGTGGTTGTCCGTTGCCTGTTCACGATGATGCTATACCACCTTGTGGACGCGGAATGTCTTGTTACTCAGGACAGGTTTAAAAAGCTTCAAGAAACGTGTCCCATTGTATCGAATCTCATCACAAAATCTCGCCACTTTACTGCGAACAAGTCCAGGCTCCATCTTGCCGTTACTGGCATCAGGAAGCTGCAGAGTAGACAAAGGAATGGGTCAGAGGTCATGATGGCCGATCCCATTTACAAATGTAAGACAAAGTGCAAACAATAAATAGTTTTCAACGTTACTTATTTGCAATGTGTTCTTAAGGATAATATCGCATCCAATGTTTGGCGATACTTACATGGCCATTGTGAAAATCCATCAAATCCGGGGTCCGACACCCATTCCTTGACGGAGCTAAACAAATACTGTCCTCCAAAATTATATAATTAGCTTTATGCTTCTTTAGTAGTTTGTGCACATCCTCCGGTGTTTTTCTGGCATATATTTGATAAAGCTTTAAAACAAAACAGAGAAGGAAAATCAGCTACTTCAAATACCAGTACAATTGAACCTTCTGGACAAGGATATATCTAAGTAATGTGACATCAAATACAACCAACTAAGTCAAGGATATATCTAAGTAATGTGACATCAAATATAACCAACTTAGTTAAGGATATATCTAAGTAATGTGACATCAAATACAATCAACTAAGTCAGAGACTAGGAAAACTAAGTCAGAGATAACCAGACAAAATAATGGAGAACATGTCCTAGTCTATAGTCCTAACTACTTCTATAGTCCTAACTACTTCTATAGTCCCAACTACTTCTATAGTCCTAGTCAATAGTCCTAACTTATTCTTTAGTCCTAACTTATTCTATAATTCAATAGTCCTAACTACTTCTATAGTCCTAGTCAATAGTCCTAACTTATTCTTTAGTCCTAACTTATTCTATAATTCTATAGTCCTAACTACTTCTATAGTCCTAGTCAATCATCCTAACTACTTCTATAGTCCTAGTCAATAGTCCTAACTACTTCTATAGTCCTAACTAATTCTATAGTCCTAGTCAATAGTCCTAACCAATTCAAAAGGCCTAGTCAATCATCCTAATTTATTCCTTTTTTTTAAAAGATGATTTAGGCTGAAATAAAACTTAAATCTAGCTTTCTTTAGGTGAACAGTATTTTCAACAGAACTGTGCATTAAGTAATAACTGTAGTATACAGTTATCTTATACAAAAATTGTATGTGCTGTGCTATTTTAGTTTCACAGTACATAAGTTTTTTGTTCCATAATCTTAAGAAACTCTGAAACTGGCCCATTGGTATATCTACTACCCAAATTTCAAATAAGACATTACTCTTGCATAGATGTGATTGCAAATAAACTGTTCAGTAAATCTTACATCTTTTGTTTTGTCTCGTAGTTGTTTGTCCTCGTAGTGGGGGTGATTTGTGATTGGACGACCAGTACATAGTTTGACGCCGGCCAGTAACTGCATACTCCCTGTAAATGCTGCCTTTTTGGGGGTTTCTTTTCTGTAGGAATGACAAACATGTGTATATCACAAACCTACACATCCTATACAATTTCCTTGACCTACAAATAATTGTGTAAGATAAAAGGCGACTGTAACATGTATTTTGTTCCAGTGCCTCATTACTTTTTGAAAATAGAGTGCTATCCATGTCACTTTTTGTCTCTACCTTAATTGAAGATAGACATTCAGACTGTTTTTGCTATAATTTTCATATAGAAAAAAAAAGTCTTTATACTTGCATTATTTGAGCCTTTTTACGTACATGGTCAAGAGCATCCTATCTATAGTATGGGTTATATGAATCAAATGCTACTTACTTTTAACTTATATGGAATTTGGAATGTTTTAACACCAAAACTGAACCTAAGTTAGACAAAGTGTTTAATGTATGTTTTACGGGATCACTGTAATACGGTATGGTAAGGAGGCCAGTATATTTATCAAAATATTTGAATGTGTGATTTGTGTGAATATTTGATTTTTGTTTGTTTGTATCTCTTAGGTTTGTGTTAGATTTACGTATGATACAAGTTTTGAGTTTTTCCTTTTTGCAAGCCTCTGGCAGGCACATTGCAACATGTTTAATACAAACATTGTTTGTGTATGAAGTAAAACTTTGATATAACATATTTCCAAACTGATGAATCTTATTGAAGATACAAATTAATCGATTTCTATGTTAGTGTATTTTAAGTGGGCCAATCCTCGTAACTGTCCATTTCTAAAACATAGTGAGTCTTGGCTCAGTTGTTTTGAAAAGATGTACAGTTACTCTGTCATTTACCCTTCCATCAGGAAAATGACCAAACATTCACAAATTCCAGGTAATCTGGTTAACACTTACTTAATCCATTCCATGAGCTGAACTGTATCAGGGTCCCAGAATTCCTTTAATTCTTCTAGCTCTTTAAATACTGGAGGGAGAGCCTAGAAAACAAATATACATATTTAAGATACTTGTTATCTCCTACTCATATATGTCGCAGTTGAAACACTTCATGTAAAACTAGAAAATTTCTATATGACATGACTGCTTCCCACTCCCATACAAATTTGTGTCATGGTAAAATATACATGTATTTCTATAAATAGTAACAGTAACCTTGGCCCTGACCTTGGAATCCTGAAATCTAACTCATTCCAGGTATTCTCATATTTGAACTTGGTACAAAGTTTGATTTTTTTTTTGTGAGAAATAAAGTCGCTGAGCAATACACTCTACCTATGCCTGTATAATGTAGAACATGTATGGGACACTCTACCTAGGCCTGTATACTGTAGAACATGTATGGGACACACTACCTGGGCCTGTATACTGTAGAACATGTATGGGACACTCTACCTAGGCCTGTATACTG